TGTTCATTTTAGCGAGAAGTAGTTTTCTGCAGCAAAGAGTGTTTGCTTTGCAAGTATTGGCTAGGATCATGAGACAGGTATTGTGCTGATCATTCTTTAGTATAAACTGCAGTGGTGTAGGAGGCACCCTGCAAGCAGTTGGTTTCTCTAACCTCGATGCTACGCTTCAAACAAGAGAGAAACTCTTCCCTCTTGTTTAAAGCGTAGCGTCGGCTTAGGGGAAACCAACTGCTTGCAGGGTAGTAGAAGGCAGGGATCTTAGTATAATGATGAAAAGGTCACATAAAGACAGTGTGCAGAAGTGCATATGAATTTTGTAGTTTTCAGTGAGAAATGGGCCAAAATAATTGGAAAAGTCACTGTAAATTTGGGTAAAAACCTTCTGGTGAAAAGATATTTTGTAAGCCTAGTGGCTTAATATTGGACGGATCTTTGCATAACTTGTGGTTCCAGTGATGTCATGTTGTGAATTGAGAATTGCTACTCTCCCTACATGGCTTATCCCCCCTGCCCCCTTGCCATACTCAGGAAAATCAACTAGTGTTTTCCTGGCGACCTCCCTAATACACCCAAACTTGTGAAGACAGGCACTGGAAGTTAGGGTAAATAAAAATGTCTTGTCTGAGAACACATAGCAAGGACCCTTGACTAAGGACATTTTCTGCCACTGGACCAAAATAATTACATTAACTGCATGTTTTTCAAGACAGATCTCGTAATTTTGATTGTATTATGTTTACATTTCATATTAATTAAATACTTGACTGTTTTGTTCAGGATCAGTTGGGTGCATTTCAAGGTCATCTCCAAGGTGATGTGCTGTCAGTGCTACTTGACGCAGGAGTCCTGTTTCTTCTCAGATGGTCATTAGATGACACTTCTGATGGTGTTGTGGCAGCGGCCATTCAAGGATTTGCTGCCATCTTAATTGTCCCAAGTGACAAGGTACATGATACTGACTACATATGATAAAAGTTAATATTCCTGGTGTTTGGTTTAGTAGTGCAGTGAAATATGTCCTCTCAATAATCTACCTACTTCTGAAGAGGATAATCACCAGTTATTGCATGTAATTGCCAATCAAAATCTGCCATGCAACATGTTTGTACATTGTCTCCAAATTTGAGGGTTATTTTTTAATTCCATAGGAATTAGCTAATAAGGTTTTCAGCTTTCCAAGAGGGCAAGAACTCCCTGCTCTTTGTCCTGTTAAGGAGAAGAAAGATGAGAAACAGTCCAGTGAGGATGAGGAAGAAGAGAAAAGTTTGACAGATGCTGACCAGTTAAAACAAGACACCATTAAAGTATGTATTACATGGAAAAAGGGATTACCTTCTCTGTTAATTCCATAGTGCATGTACGCAAATGGCTGCTTTGCAAGGCTTAATGTGAAATGTCCATTCTCCAAGACATATTGCAATGCGCAACCTTTGTTTTTAACCTTGTAAAGATTTGTCTGCATTGTGAGCTACGTATTTCATAACCTTCTTGGTTTTTTTTCTTTGTGTAAATCTATGGCCCTTACATTTTCTACGTAGGCCATAAATCAGTGGGCCCTGATCCTGGGGAGAGGGATACTCTGTAAATCTTACCCTATCCCAGACTACTTATTTTCCATGCAGATTTTTTATCACTGCTGCAGTCCAACATATGTTAACCAAACCAAGATCTTATAAAATCACTTCCGAGTTTCAATTTCTATTATTAATAGAACCCCGGGTGAAGAACCCTGTTCTAGACTGAATTATTTATACACTGGCAACTTTCCTGATACATTATACGCTTTTCTAGAGCGAAACTGTCTGATTTCTATGCCCTATCCCAGACTAGACTACATGAATTTCATACCCTTAAACAGCGGCACATACCTGTATAGCTTATATAGGGAGTACTCCCCCCCCCTATGGGATGATGGGACGACCCGTGAACTTTATTTAAGTCATTTTGTTACTGTCAATATCAACAGGGTCTTATCCAGATGAGCATTTTACCAAGATTAAGATACATCCTTGAAGTCTGCTGCCCTGGAGCACCCACTGTTCA